TGTGTGTGTGTGTGTGTGTGTGTGTGTGTCAGTTTGCCCATTGCTGCCCTCAGCAACCCTAAACAGGATAAGCAGTTTAGAAAATGGATGAGAGGACGGAAGGCTCATAGCTCTGCCAGGCAGATGGGAGTCAAATGCATCTAGGAAGCAGCCCTGGCGACCTAATCAATAAGGCTATTGAGGATAATGGTGCGATTAGAGCCTGGGTGGACCCCCTGACATCAGTCTGCTCCACACGGATGTGCCCTCGCATGCAACTTTCGCCACCTTTTTATTCATAAATCCGATGCCGTTTGGCTGGTAGTGAGCAGCTCACAGTGTTATCCCGTCAGGGTCGTCCATAGATATCCGATTGCTGCTGAGGAGTTTAGTGAGTAGGCAGGGAGCATCAAACAGCAGGGGAAGTTTAAGGCTTACTGAACATCTATGTAGCTTTCACATAATATTGCTTAACTTTTGTTTCTCTCCAGCTTAATAATGCCCACGTCACGACTGCTGCCACATGCGTCTACTCGCAGTTCTACCAATTTATCGAGCTGACTGAAGGAGCTTTAGCTTTTATTTATTTATTTATTTATTTATTTTTTTATTTTTTTAATCCTTTTACTTTGCTAAGTATGACGGCAGTCTCGTAATGTCACCGGCGTACAGCATCTGTGTGTCTGTAGATGTTCTATTAAATTGAGTGTGAGGAGAGGCCCCGCTAATGCAGACTGGTGTTTGCACCGGGCCAGGGTTCAGTCTGCCAAGTTAAAGTTGATGTGCTTTCAAATAGCAGGACTCGGAGCTTTCGCCGCATCAGTTATAATGACATGACCTACATCCACCCCAGAGCTCCAGCACTAATGCAGCGCAGGAGAAACATGGACCCTGCGACTCTGACAAAACACACCAAGCAAACACACACACACACACACACACACACACGTGCCGAGCCCTAGCACACAGAGATTGATGTGACCGATGTATATAAATGTGGACACACACTACCTAGGAGTGCATGAATTGTAGTGTTGTTGTTTTTTTGGTCCTAATTTCTGTTTTGCATCTGATATGGTTTCAGTCTCCACATTCATACAAACAACTTAACGAACAGCTTTTCAACACAATGCTGAGCATCGTTACGCCTTGAATTGTAATTCTTAGTTTCTGATATTTTGATAGGAGCTTGTGTAGTATTCAAACAGCCGTTTGCAAGTAAGTAACACACCTGTGTGACTGCTTTTGATTTGAATTCTTAATGCATAAACGATCAGAAGTGCCATGCTGGAAACATACCATTGCACTGTTTAGCACCGTGGTGATTTTACTGCCGTATAGAGTCTTGCTGCATTTAGAGTGTTGCCTGGAACTACACACTCGCATTTTACTGCATCAGTCACCTCGCCAGCCTGTCACCTCACTACACTCTCACTGCTCCCGACTGCAGTCCACAAGCAGGCCGGCCGCCGTCTTTTTGGTCCACGTCTGGAGCCTGTTCCCGCTGCTCTGCCTGACGACTAAATACAGTCATAGATGTACTACGGATCCCATCAGTGGTCCTGAGTACTAATAGTAGAGCAGATTGTCCTGACATGGCATTGCATGCTCAGCTGTTGATTGACTGACTTGTCTGTCCGTTGAATTTTCGACGTGGGAGTGTGTTTGTGCGTAACTGTGCCCGCACATGGATAGTATACAGCAGGCTTGGGTGGAATAGTATTTATAAAATCACATCTTTTGCTTGTTTTAGTTTGCTTGGAGTACCAGAATGACGGGTTTTCACCACTTGTTGACAATAGAGAGGCAAAGTCCTGTTTCACTTCCAATGCTTAGTGTAAGACAGAATATGTCCTCATTGATGAGTAAATGCACATCCACTACCATACTGACTAGAAAAAGTTGACACCATATATGGGTGATTATTTTCTTAACATTCAACAACTACAGCTCCCATGATGCTTTGACTCGAGGGATACGTTGCTGTTGACTTCTAACAAAATAATCTATTATGTCTTCAAAACACAATTAAAATTAGGGGAATATTAGTGAGTCTAAATTCTAATTCATCTTATGATATTACCAGAAAACCAGAATCAGTTTGAGCTTTTTAGAAGGACTGATGATCTATATGAACATATTCTGTCTGGCTGTGGTTGTCTGAACAGAGGCAGGATTTCAGCTGTGTTGGTAGTTTCACATACATTTGTAATTGTCTTATCGTAGTGCTCTGTTCATCTGCGTGTCTGTGGTAAAAGCCCATCCTTGTGGCACTTAAGCAAGATCAATTCCAGTATATAATAAAAAGTACGTGTAAATACTACTCAGCCGAGCACATTCAGACACATTTCTTTTTCAAGCGGCATGAATCTTGAGGAAATAAGTGTTGATTTCTTCTAGGAGATGTGAGAGTGAGAAGTCAAGTTGGATTTGAACCGGAACGAAGAATCTCCCACCCGTACCTGTGCATCGACTTCCGAACTCTTCACAGTGAGTATGAATCACAGCCAGCCGATAACCTCGACTCGGCCGGCCTCTTAAATAACAAGAGGCGATGTCGAACTGCGCCCAGTTTGTTCCTCTGCAGCCAGATTGACAGATGTTTGTGCGCTGCGTTCATACAGCATTTCACATGATGATAGAGACCAAGGCGTGTCTCAGTGTGAACCATGTGAGAGGCTTTTTAGCAAAGCTTTGTGAATGGGTGCGTGATAAAATAACCGCTTTCAAACTCATTGAAACCTTTTAAGAAAACATCAAACAGTTGGGGAGAAGTTGTGTGTGTGTGCGTGCGCGTTTTTACATTTTGACCCAAAAGTAATCCTACTTCTTGCTGACGTGTTTCCGGATTGCAGCCAGGGTTTATTCAGACACAGTGCGTGCATGTGAGTGTGTGTGTGAGTGAGAGACCACTGACAAAGCATGTCTGCTGTGTGATCCCAGACGAAAGGCTTATGAGTGGGCGGCTGTGTCAGCAGCGACTGTTTGTATATCTCTGTGTTGGTGTCAGATCCCCACCGAGTTTGTGCAACCCAAATGATTTTTTTTAGAGTTTAATGAGCTTCTAAAATAAACATTTACCAAAAAGATTGTTACATAATTTACACATTACATCGTGTGTGTGTGTGTGTGTGTGTGTGTGTGTGTGCGCGCGTGTGTGTGCGCAGCACGGCTGGGCACGTCAGCGAGCACCGCTCCTGAAAGGAGGGTCCACAGACTGCTCAGCTTCCAGAGGTACCTGCACTCATACCGTCTGCTGCGGGGAGTCCCCCAGCAGATCCCCCTCCACATCCTGGATGAAGACTACACTGGACAGGCCAAAGTAAGACACCCACCTCTGTATAACGATGCCATGATAAATCACTTCTTGTTCAGACTTCGCATCACTAATTCTGCGCTGCGCTTCTCCCTCTCTTGCAGTGCATGCTGGAAAAAGTTGGGAACTGGAATTTTGACATTTTCCTCTTCGATAGGTTGACAAACGGTACGTAAAATATGATCTGAAATACTGTTCACAAGTTGTTTTAAAAGTCATGACACAGATGTAATGGAGCACTGATGATCCAGCATTAAACCAGCCTTTATATTCAATGTATTACCAATGGTGCCATCTATTGGATGTCTGACGACACAGAGGATTTACTGGAGGATTGCCCGTTCAAAACAAGCCAGTTGGGCCAAATCCTTGGCCTGTGGTGTGGTGCTTGCAGCTTTCTCAAGAACAACTCGTACAAATAACTTTACACTAAACCATCCATCCATCCATTTTCCACCGGTCGGGTCGCGGTGGCAGCAGGTCAAGCAGGCCGACCCAGACCTCTCTCTCACCGGCAACATGTTCCAGCTCATTCTGGGGGATCCCGAGGCGTTCCCAGGCCAGCTGGGAGATGTAATCTCTCCAGCGTGTTCTGGGTCTTCCCCGGGGTCTCTTCCCAGTTGGACGTGCCTGGAAAACCTCCAGTGGGAGGCATCCAGGAGGCATCCTAATTAGATGCCCGAACCACCTCAGCTGACTCCTTTCGACGCGAAGGAGTAGCGGCTCTACTCCAAGCTCCCTCCTGATGACTGAGCTCCTTACCCTATCTCTAAGGCTGAGCCCGGCCACCCTACGGAGGAAACTCATTTCGGCCGCTTGTAGCCGTGACCTTGTCCTTTCGGTCACGACCCAGAGTTCGTGACCATAGGTGAGGGTAGGAACGTAGACCGAGTGGTAAATTGAGAGCTTTGCCTTCCGACTCAGCTCCCTCTTCACCAAGACGGCCCACTAAACCAGCTACAGATTTATGATAATGTTTGCATATGAAAAATATTGAATCATTGCTATTCTATCTGTCATTCTTCCCCAAAACACTTTAAAAAACGAGCGTCTCAGCTGTATACTACTTACTGTGTACTTGTACTTCAGAGGAAAACATTGTAGTACAACATTTACTTGACAAAAGAAATGTTGCTGGTTAGGTTGCAGAATAAAATATCATGAATTGTTGTTATTATTAAACTATCCAGCATCATATCGTAATAGAAAGCTCCACTTTGAAAAGAGTTGAGATGAGATGGTAAGGCCACTCTTTCACTCTGCACTTGAAGTAAACATTTGGATGCATGACTTTGTCAAAACAAAATTTGACAAAGCCCTCCATGAGGTCCCCAACAATACAGCCGCTAAGTGTGAAGTAGATCGGATGAGAGGTTTCGGAGATGTGCAAAGGTCGTACAGACAATCAGAGATTCTTTGCTATGTAGTTAGATGAAAGAATTTATGAAAGATGAACATTTTGAAGGAAAGATTAATTCGATAATTGAATCGCTGCATTTCGAGGAGAATGATACAATATTTCGTTTATTTTGCCGTGCAGCTGTAATGGAGTTTGGTTCCTGGCTAAAGATCAACAGCAGTTCAATAGACTTCATTTTGTCTTATGAGGAGCATATTGAATTAACTACAACATATTTCTGCACTGACAGGAGCCTCTGTAGATAAGAACAAGATATGTCGTATTATTAAAAAAAGGGTTATGACTCAGACATGACCTGGCAGAGACAAGTATGTCTTTGGTTATTCTTTTGTTCTCGCCACATCCGTTTTTGATATTTAGCAAGAGATGCGTAAGAGCTGAAGTGTATAGTGCTCTGAGAAGAAAAAGGATGAAAAATCACAAAAATATGTAACTATGGGAAGTGAAGACTGGGTAGTCCAGGCAGGCTTAGAGGAAGTGGATGCACAAATACAATTAACTACAGAATAGAAAAATAACTCCTGCATTCCACTGAGCAGAACGGATATTAATATTTTACATCGCAACAATGTCTGATGGAACAATTTTATCATTTTGGTTGCAAGTGAAAAGAGATGAACCAACCGGATGAAAGCAGAACGCTCACTCTGATCTTCTTCTTGTTCAGGAAACGGTCTGATCACCCTGACCTTCCACCTGCTGAACCAGTATGGCCTGGTGGAGCTCTTCCAGCTGGACATGGTCAAACTGTGGAGGTTCCTGGTCATGGTCCAGGAGGACTATCACAGCGACAACCCCTACCACAACGCTGTCCACGCTGCCGATGTCACACAGGCCATGTACTGCTACATGCGTGAACCCATGGTGAGACATGAAAACCTTGCACCAACAATGGTATACAATATCCAGATCTGAAGGAGTATTCGTATGTTAAGGACCAATTGTAACTGTTGTGTTGTCAATGCAGCTTGCCAAATCTCTGACCTCTTGTGACATCATACTTGGAATCCTGGCAGCCGCCACACATGACCTGGACCATCCCGGGGTCAACCAGCCTTTCCTCATCAAGACTGACCACTATCTAGCTACACTCTATAGGGTAAAACCACACAACAGTCGCTGTTAAGCCTGGCAGCACTTTCTTAAGGATGCATTGAAGTGGAATAAGTCATAGGACTTATTGAATGAATGTGTCTGTGCACATTTTTGTCCCTTTTTTTCTTTTTTTAATGTGCAGAATAACTCAGTTCTGGAAAACCACCACTGGAAGTCAGCAGTGGGCCTGCTCAGAGAGACTGGGCTGTTCTCCCATCTGCCTGCTGAGGACAGGTCAGTCTGACACTGAAAAGATGCTAAGTGTGCTAAGAAAACTCTGCTACATTTGAAGCTATTTCAAAAGACTTCGCCGCTGAGTTGGTAGAGCTAATGCCATCAGATGCCACACACAGCGCTAACCAATCTGGTCATCTTGTGTTTCCGACCCCTCAGCCTGAACATGGAGAGGGAGTTGGGCTCCTTAATCCTGGCCACGGACATCAGCAGGCAGAATGATTACCTGTCCAGGTTTCGCAGGCACCTGGATCAAGAGAACCTGTGCTTGAGCAATGCCAGCCACCGTCACTTCATTCTGCAGGTCAGTTAGCTCCTCCGTCATGTACACGCACACACACACACACACACACACACACACACACACACACACACACACAACAGGGTTTACTGTAGCTGGCATATTCCTGCTTTGTGCCGTTATCCTGTGTGGTTGTCCGGCAGATGAAATATGCTATCTCTCTTCTATGCATCTGACACTTCGCGTCTCAGTTTTTTGACTGTAGTGAAAAGGTGAAAGGTTAAACGGCACCAACACATCTGGATTGAAGCAGAATATTTCGATAGATAAAAACAGGTTGTGAATTTTGGAAATGATTACATCTATTCTATTTTCAATCAATCTTGACTTTTGGACTGAGGACCGACACAATTACAGAGAGGAGGACTGAGCACTGCCTCGCTTGCTGTTTGTGTGTTTTTTGGGGGGGAGAGAGAGTATTGTTTACAATGTCTCTGTAAGTTATTAATAATTTGAATGTCAACGTAATGAAGGAAGCTTCGAACTAATCGGTACAGCCCAACGAACCCTATTTTAAATTTGACAAATGCAAATTTTAATTTTTTAGACCACTTCTTCACTTGACTCAACTTAAGTTATTTAATTTGACGGGCTTAGAAGGCAAAGATAAATATCCTAATGTCTATATTTGATTAACAATAGCGAGGCTATTTGTCTTATTTGGTTGTTGTACACTAGCTAATATGCTCAGTTTGCAAAGTCTGTGAAGAGTTCATTCAGCTGACTTAAATAAAATACGTGTTTGAACTCCGATCATGCCGTTTGTGTCTTATTGCTGTTTATATTGCTATTCAAAACATATGTCTGGTAGTTGTTGGGATTCTGGAATATTAACGGCCGTCAGTACTTCTTCATCTCAGCAACACTGAGCTTTTCATGTGTTTTTTTTATTCCCACCATGTTACAGATGGCTCTGAAGTGTGCAGACATCTGTAACCCCTGCAGACCCTGGGAGCTGAGCAAACGGTGGAGTGAGAAAGTGACTGAGGAGTTCTTCCAACAAGGTTATCATCTTTTCTACTGCATGCTGTTGTATTGTTTGCATTCCCCTTGAACTATTTATTTTGCTCTTTTAGTTAATCCAAGTACAGCTCCTTCCTTTGTGTTTATTCTGTTTATTCTCTGCTACAAAGTGTCTATAATAGCAGATCACATGAGGTCATATAAAAGCTTGTGTATTGATTGTTTTGTTCTGCTCTTTTAGGAGACATTGAGAAGAAGCACAGACTTGAAGTCAGCCCACTTTTTGACAGAGAGATCAACACAGTTGGCAACATTCAAATAGGTACGTAGCTGTGTTGTATATTTGTTGTATTCAGCCTTCACCAACAACCTCCCCTCTCTCAACATGTAGCCCTAACATGTGCCTGCCGCCTCTTCTCTTCCTCCAGGCTTCATGACGTACATGGCGGAGCCGCTGTTCGCAGAGTGGACCCGTTTCTCCGACACACGTCTGTCCCAGACCATGCTGGGCCACATGGGGCTAAACAAGGCCAGCTGGGTCGGCCTACAGCAGGAACAAACCTCCGTCTCCAAGGAGGCGGAGCCCAGCTCCGCCGACTCGGAAGGCGCCGCTGCCGCCGCCGCTCGGAGGGACAGCACCACCGCTACGGCCGCGGGAGGAACCAGCTCCAAAGAAATACCTCAGGGAAGCAAAGAATCCTGACACTCCTTGTGTGCCCTTTCATCTCAACCTCCGGGCCCCGGCTTTTGGGGCCTCACCACACTGGGGGCCTGGTGGGACATGCAGTGGCCCGCAGCCCAGCTGCTGCTGCCCCACCTGATCCTGACACCTTCTTTATGTTTTGTTGCTTATGCCTCCCATCTTGATAAACCACTGATTTTATTTAATTTATTTAATTTTTAACTCTTTTTTTGGCATAGAGCAATACATAGATACCTCATTTGGCTACTGCTGTCATTTATTTATTTGTCCACTATAGTTTTGGCATTACTGACTGAACACCACTTTTTGTTTGTGTTGGTGAACCTTAAGGGGAAAGCAGTAGAAGAGCTGAAGAAGACATTTTCTTTTTTTTTTTTTCTGGTATTTTGAAGTGCCATTTGAAAACAAAGACTGAGACAACTGGAGTATTCCGACACGAGACCCTCCTAAGACTTAATGCCATGTTGCATTTGTATTGAAGATTCTTCCTCAAAAACAAAAAAAAATGTGACAAGCCCGGTCCTTTTGCTGCCTCTACGAAGACTGTTTACGCATTTTCTTGTTGTTTCTCTCCCTTGAAGTGAAGTGAATCACATCGGCTCCACGGTTTGCCTTCGAAGCACAGATGTGAAGAACCACTCATTTTTTTGAATTGTCATCCCACTGTTGAAGCCATGAGCAGTACCTTATTCAAACACACCAGATGCCATAAGTTACTCCGCCTGTGCTACAATGTGTTCTTGCACTCTCGAATAACGATGACGTTGGATGTGCAGCTGAGTCTCCGAGAGACCCCGTGAAGGTATTGTAGACGTTAGTCGATTCTTCCAGTGCTGGTTGAACTCGGGGGTAGCTTCCCTCCCAGACTGGAGATCAGTTACTCACTGCACATGCATCTCACCTGGAACTCCACGCAACTCGACTCGCTCAGGGTTTTGCCAGTCTCTTATAAAGAGGGAGAGGGGGGAGGAGGTGACTGCGGATGATGCAGGGTTGTTGTTGTTTTCCTGGCTAGGATCTACTGAAGGAGACTCTCCCTCTCCGCAGAATGTCTCTCACGGCCACATGCAACCTAAAGGACTGCTCGATTGATGCCTTATAACTATGCACAAACTATGCTAAGTGACCAAACCAGCTCCTGTTCCCATCAAGTGCATGGTGTGCTTGTCTTTGAATGCACTGTCCGATGATCCCTTTGCCTTTTTGTTGTGAGGAACAACTCCAGCTGTCCTTTTTTTGTACGGAAACAAGATGGTCGCGTGACTCTGAACATTCCATTTCTTCGTGTTTGGTTCGTCTACCTTGATTCGATATAGTGCCACAAATTGTGTTTTGAACATTTTTGAAAGATAACAGGTGCTTTTCTTACTTTGGCTGATTTGTATTTTTGCTGTAAGTGCTGTAAGACTGTTGATAAAACTGTTTACAATTTGTTGCGACAGCCATTTTTGGGAAGACTTCAGTGTCGAGCCAGATTTTGTAAAGGCTTTGCTGTATTGACCTTTTTGATACATGCCTGTTGCAGTTTCGATTTGAATAATAAAAACCTGTTAAATTGTTTCATTGGCTTTCACACAGTTAAAGCATGCAGTCTAATACTGTAGTCAACGTAAGCAGAAATTTTCTAAATGCTAAATCAAGGCCATGGAAGTTTAGTTACACCATCTTTGATCTCTTGACTGAGAGTTTCATAAGAGTAAGTGATTCAGCTGTAACTCAGACAGATTTACACCAGAGCAAGTCAGGAATGAACAAACTTTTATTTAGAGATTTGACAATTCAAGTTCACGATTTTTCTACAAAATCCTCCTGACACACCCAGTACACGTTCCTCTAATAAGAAGGTAATACTAGTAGAGTTGACTTGGAGCAGCAACTACACCAGCATAATGAACAGAACTGGAAATGATGTGCAATCAGTCACTTTGAACAAATAGTTTAAAACTTCAAAAGGCCCAGAGGTGTCTGTCTTTTTCAAACTGAGGCATGAAAATGTGATTACTGGCACGAACGCATCATTTTATATCTTTGGAATACTGATAATGAGTACCTTAGGACCCATGACAAACACGTTTTATACAGAAACTAGATGTGAAAATACCATAACACAGTATTTCTGTGAGCCTTAAATTCTGGGAAAGAATCAAAGAATCGTATCCCAAAAAAGAAAGTATATATATGCGCCTGTACTGTTAATAACATGAACTTTGCTTCAGTTACAGTATCGCTTTTCCTTCCTATTTATGCATCATCTTAAATGGGAGAGAAGCTATTTGGCAGTGAAAGGCAGAATCTCGCAGATCATCCCTGGAATGTCTTTGGCTCTGAACAGATCGTACTAACGAGATAAGTAGTGTCAACTAAAACTGGGTAAAGACACACACCCAGACAAGACTGGCAACAGAGACGCGACTCACACGGGCTTAACAGGCAACGTACAAAATCGTCTAAAAGCCACCTGGAATTAATAACCGACATAATTACCTTTGTTAAAATCTTAATTATCCACTTAAACCGCAACATAAATAGAAGGATCCCAATCATAACTTAGTCTGTCATACATGTATAAACAATACAGCACAATATTCCTCAAGTAAGAAAGTGCTCCCTTTCTTCTGTGGTAGAATAACTCTTCAGCTTTCACAGACTCCTTAAAATAGGAATGCAAACACGACCAAATATGCAACAAGTTATGATTGAGCAATAAAACGAATAACGTTCATCAATTCTGTAGTGTTGCCTCTGACGCTTTCACTCAGGACAGAAGTTTGAACTATTCCAACACAAAAAAAAACATTCAGTTGAACAATAATAATCATGTTCGTAAAATAGAAAGCTAATATAAGTTATAAAAGTGCAAATAAACCAGATGTTGAAGATGACTTGGATACATCGATATGAGATGACTGCTCCCTTGTTCTTCCACAGAAACGGCTCGTATGAAGAGGTGGATAAGGCACTTCAAAGCGTCCGCAGCACATCTGGAGATCAGAATCAGCTGATCAGAGCAACTTCTTTTTCCCAGTTGACTTCAACATGTGCTGCCCAAACTGTGGAAACAGACAGAGGAATGATTAAATATTTTTTTATTTTTTAGAAACAATATTTTCCGTTGGTCCGCCAAGGATTCGTTAACGGGCTGACTTTGTGGCGGCATAACAGCGATGAATACAGAGACGATCTCTCACCAGAGGTTTCTCCGTTTGAGGTTTCACTTCTGGAACGGGAAGTTTGAAATCCTCGTTGTCTCCTTGTTCACTGTCGTGTCGATAGCGATGGGCGAACTTGCGTTTCAGGGCCTCGGCGATGAGAGATGCAGCATCTAAAGGCTCGCTGGACTTCACTTTGGCTTCTCCGTCCGCTGGCCGACTATGAGACAGTTAAACAATTACAAATGATTCATATTTAATTATTTGTGTTTTTTTGATAATTTCCGAATGCGTCAGAATGTATTCTCGTTGACTCTCTATTTAAATACCTTTTGACTGATCGCAATTTGACTTTGCTCATGTCTTTCAGGACATCGAGCATGCTGGGAATTTCTGCCTGCTTTGAATCCAAAGCTGTCTGGCTGTCTGTCTTCTTCCCTCTGCGCTCCTTTATCAAGTCAATGACAGAAAATGTCCGCTGAAGACTTAAGAGTTGAGGAGGTGGTGGTGGTGGAGGAGGAGGAGGAGGAGGTGGAGGCAGGGTGCCACAGGGTGGAGGGGGAGGTGTCCCTGTGGTAGCAGCTGAGGTGAAACAAAGGAAAGAAAAAGCTTAAAGCTGTGCGACATGTAAAACTCTGCTGCCATCTAGAGGACATTCTATACAACCGCAGTGGAGTAAAGAGGAAGACAAATCCCTCGGTGCGTATGCCACACAGAAAGAGATGGTCTCTGTTTTAAAGGTGTAAGAGATACCTGGCTGGCTGTTCTTTTCCTGAGCCAATACAATTTGTGCTATCTGAACTCTGAGTTTGGCGAGTTCCGTCTCCAGTGCGCCGATCTTCTGAATGGCCTCATCGTTGGCGGTTGTAGGCCCCTGGGGGTCCGGAGTCCCCTGTTGCAGGCTCGGCAGTGACCTCTGGCGCGTTAAGGGTTGTCTCTGAGGCTGGCGAGCTCGAAACACGAGTCCCTGTGGGATCACTGACCTGCTTCAAAAGGGTAAAAATCACCTTTTACTGGAGGCTGCTCACAGGAGAATGGTAAATTATTCTACTCATAAAACAAATATCCCTTAGAAGATGTTAGCCGATCACTATCCCACTCTCACCCGTGTTTGCCAAAGGAGTCTTCGTCGTCATCCCCGTCGATCCAGGCGACATCAGCCAGAGAGGCCACCAAACCGGTCTGCCTCCTGGAGCCGATGAGGACACCAGCGTCCTCATTGTACGGATAAAGCTGTCAGGGAGCGAGCAGCCATGATCAACATTCGGACCAAAAAAAAACCCTCAGAAAACATGCCAGAGAAGAGCACACGCCAGGCAACGCTACAACACCGCATTTCAACAACTAATAAAGACAGTCATTAAGTATGAATAGGAAATAAGGGCAGTTCAGAGGGAGGAGGTATGGAGGGAATCTATACGACATTAATGAAAGATTCAGGTAGGTTAGAAGGTAGCTCAGTAAATCCACTCAAAGTTACTGAAAGTTGCTGAACACACTGACCTAAAGCAGACATACTGCATTCCTCAAAGCTAAAGAAGGTAGCTGGGGACAAAGGATAAGAAGAAAAGAGAAAGCACAGCATTGAAAGAGACAGAAAAGTAAAGAGAAGCAATTCATTTTTAAATTGCATGCCACTGAATTGAAATATCTCAAAAGTTGACTTGTTAACGTGTGGACACACGTATATCTCTGTACTAATGACTTCATCCACTCTGTTTATGGTTCACAAAATGAAAACAGTCAAGACAACCTGGTGTAAACAAAGGTTGGAGGAGAGTGCGTGATTTGTCACATGGCTGTGACTCCAAACGTCAGGCGAGACGGGCAGAAAGACAGAAGCGGAGACAAAAATGACGATCATGGTAACCTTCCCTCACCTGGAAGTGAACCCTAGGGCAGGGATTAAAAGGAAGACTCGAAGCTATTCTCCTCACGATACTTCTCGAGGACCCATAGGACTTGGCTGATCCAAAAGCCTGCAAAATAAAAAGATGAAACACATCATTTACATCACAAATGTAAGGGGGAAAAAAATAAAAATAATCAGTCAACACAACCTGTATTCTAGTGGAAACACTCACTAGTCCAAGGTTTTTCCCAGATCTGGTGGTGTTTCAGCATCTATGTTAGGCTACGAAATTGAATTTGGATTGTATGTATGGAAATATTGCTTTTAGCAGACACTTGTTGAGTCACATACCAGGTCCATTTCCATCCGTGGGTAGTCTTTACTCATTTCTGTTGTGCTTCACAAGGGCAGAAGGACACACGCCCCAAATACAAGGGCGTCATCGCCAAACGGTCCTCTGAAGGAAACAAGGGAAGAGTGAGAAATTCAGGTTGAAACAGACTTAAAACACAAAACTTTAAAACCAACAATGAATTCAATGCTAAGATGCTCCAGTACAATACAAATATTAATACATTCTGTATCAGTCTTTAGTGGTACAGACAATATAAATATCTTTCCAATATTATCATTGCTGCCAATAACTGATTAAGGAATTAGAATTAGAAAAAGTGAGGCATGAAATACAACTGTCAAGGTATAAATTTACTAAATACAAGTTATTATCTTCACAAAAAGTAAAGCTTGTCAAATGCTTTTATATTAGCAAAGACACTAAATTCAAATAGTAGAATAGCATATGGTAGGATGCAGAGTCGAGGCAAGGTAAGCTATACGTAAGGTTAACTAAAAATACACAAACTAAAGTATAAAATAACTGTATACATGTTACTAGCTTTCTAACGTTTACAAGCTGGGATAATCTTTACCGGTGTTAGTACATTTTGAAAGTTCAGAACTTAAATATTGACAAGAAACATGTAAAAGGGAATCAGTCGCAGTTCTTTGGTAGATGTTAACTGATCTCATGCATGATGGGTAATAAAGGCTAATGTCGTAGCAAAGGGACATTAAACGGGAAAATGGGAACTTTTGCGGGCAGAGTGGCTAACGCTACACAATGCTAACAAGGATAGCGGGAGCTCACCAACTCTAGTCAACTGAACAACCACTGACACATTTATTCGGAATTGTCGAAGCACACTTAGTTAGCCCTAACGTGAGATCACAAACTAACGTTAACGTTACGTCATATTCTACGATCGGTGCGCGTGTGTGACTTTGAAACTAACTTACCGAGACTGAAGTTAGAAGACTACTTTTTCTTTAGTTTTTCCACCTTGTCAACCAACGAACATCTAAAGTGGTCGCGCTATGTGGGAGGAGGAAGGGTCGGGGAATACATTTAGAGCCAATTGGATTATACGGATTATAGCGGATAGGTTGTAGCCATGGAATGCCACCATTGGTTATTCACGTTGATTGACAGACCAAGCCACCAGCTGCCTCTGACCTTTAAAAGAATACTATATGATGATTGGCTCGTATGTCAATCAGTCAAATCATTCCGTCCAATCATATCCCAGAAAGCATGTGGACGCTCGTTATACTTCTCTACATGTCCCGGTGGGGATGTGTTCGGTGTGATCTGCTAGGATTATTTGGGAAAACTGGGATGTCCTCATTCACAAAACAGCTGTACCCGCTGATGTGCCACAAAACCCAAACACTGGTCCCAGCTGCTAGCTACAGAAGAATACTAAAGGAAGAGGCGCAGGCCTAGCGTTAGTGACATTATTTTTGTTACAGTAGCTTTTAAAGGTGGTATCGGAAGTTTTTGTTACGTCTTTTTTGAATGTTTTGTAACTGAAGTCAGCTGGGGTTGTCTCATGATTTTATTGAAAACTGTCAAAAAGGTATGCTATGATTGTCAAGTAACGTTAGCTAGCCTAGCCTAGCTGCTGAATCGCCTCTGTGCGACAGGGCGTGTTTTGAGGTGAGGTTGGGGGTCGTAGAAAGTGTCTTTGGCAAAAAACGAGTATTTGTATTTTGTCTTACAAAATTATATGGTTGTGTTGGCTGTAAAGCAAGTACTTAAACCACACGACTATAAAATGAGCCTTCCAAAGCATGCTACGCTATATGTACTTATCTGTGACTACGACAGTGCATATCAATGCATATCCATAACATCAGTTCATTTACAAACGTCCCTAATCAATCAGATTGTGCAGCACCACATTTCAGAGGTGGTTGCTGATAAAAAGCACCAGAATCTCCAATAAATCGGTACAACGTGCTCCAAGGCAATGGGATTGTTGTTAAGGTTAATAGTGTATGTCACCGACACTTCATTTTGCAAGGTGGATCATTATTCTGCACAAAATAATTACTTTTTTTAGACTCATCCCACGCAATTGTGTCAGTGTTGCAACAATTGGTTAATTCATTGATTAGTTGATTGACAAAAACATTTGCCGAAAAGTTCCAACCTCTCAAATGTCAATATTAGCCGCTTGTTTTTTCCTGTTATTGCACATTTAATATCTTTGGAAATATATGGAAATTAGAAATTTGGATCGTGGAAATTTCTGGACATTTTTACCCATTTTCTTACATTTTGTAGTCTTAATAATTAATTAGGAATTTACAGGTCTAATAATAATTATCTGCAGCCATGGTTTGTGTAATGTAAGCGCCCTGATTTACCTTGTCTTCTTTTCAGTAGAGAGAAGAGGTTGGTTTGATGTGCGTGGCATCAAGACAAGAGGCACCATGAGTGCGGAGCTGGATGCACTGACTGTGGTGAACCAGCTGCGAGATCTTGCAGCAGACCCCCTGAACCGAAGAGCCATAGTAGAAGACCAAGGCTGTCTCCCAGGTCTCATCCTTTTTTTGGACCACCCCAATCCACAGGTCGTCTACTCTGCACTATTGGTAAGCACCACCCATATGTTTACGTTTACTTCATGTGTTCACACATAAGACTCTTTACATCATAAATAGTTACTGGTGCATAACTAATTCATAAGGTTTGAGTAGTATTCGGTACCGCCATACAAAGACGGAAATTAATTATCTAAACATGCCAGTTGAAATATTCTAAGCAGATGTTTTCATTAACTTGGTCTTGGTTGTGTTCACCTACTGCTTCTGTAATTCATGTGTTTTCTGTTCGTGGCATATTTTGTCCCCCCCTGCTGTCCAGCAGTGTCAGAGCAGGTTTCAGTGACTCTGAAGGCCTTTTCTCCACCACTGTGTCAAAGGCCCACACTCTCTCCACACTCACAGACTTTGATGCGCGTTCCCGCAATGTCCGCGAGGGTTTAGGTCTATCCCACTGTCAAATCGTTGAGTGTTTCAGGGCTCTCTCACAGACATTTTGAGCCCTTTATGAACACTTTCTGTAAGTCTGCAGACTTTGCCAAAAGGGAATTACCTGCAATTTACAGCAATGTGACGTTAATCACGGGGTTACCAGTGGAAGCCGGATACGTAAGAAAAAAGCCAAACAAAGTGGACGGCACATGGGTGTTCAGTCTGGCATATTACATTTATACAGAAACGTTAAGGATTAAAGATGGAACATAAAAACACATGAAAGCAGAGATTATTTGACAAATAACTTTCATCCTGTGAGGCAAAAGCCTGGAAGACGTTCAAATCAGAAAGTAAAAAATATGAAATAAATCCCCACAATTGTACATAACATAATGACGATGTCATGGTAACGTGATATGTCGCAGCAACAACAATTTATCAGGTGACGTCAGGTAAGTCCCTGAGGGTTCAGGGTTTAAGGCTTGAGGGGGGACATTTGGGATTAGGCCCCACTCACAGGCTGATACATGGTGGCTTTAAAAACGGCTCCATATTTAACATCACTGTCCAATGGTGACATCTGCTGTCTGTTTTGTGGTGACAACACAATACAAAGTCTTGATTTAGCAACCTCTCCCCACCACCACCACCACCCTTTTGTGCAGCACATGACTTGTAGTGCGAGAACACATTTCAGTGGCTTTATGTAACAGTCGCTCCTTGGCGTAACCCGTGAAGTGTAAACACAGGGTCAGTGCATGTGTGTTTATTTTGGTTATGTAATACTGTACCGTTCCACGTGTCACCCATTTAAAAAGTTCTCTCTCTCTCTCTCCTACGATATCACAAAGAGTGTCGGCTTTTAGCGCCGGATAGATAACGGTCGCCCTTGTCCTTGCAGGCCGTGCGCTACCTGGCAGAATGTCGAGCCAACAGGGAGAAGATGAAGGGCGAGCTGGGCATGATGCTGAGTTTGCAGAATGTCATGCAGAAGCAAGTCCCTGTCACCACTACATCACACACACACACACACACACACACACACACACATACACACACACACACACACACACATGCTCACTGTGCACTTTCTTTACGTAAAACCTTAACCTAGGATTTCTTTTGTTTTGCACGGACAATGTGTGCCAGTCTGCAGATTTTCCAGACAGGAAGATGTCCTTCCGTGTGCCACGTCAGGATGAATGTGATTAAAGTTGAATTAGAGCAGGGTGCTAAACAGTTGGACTGCTGTTTCTGCATCTTATAGATTTTAATGCATCTCGCCACCTCTCAATTTCTTGATGAGTCCACTTGCATATTTTTTTTACTGATGTGAGCTTATATTTGCTCTTGTGTTGTCACGGAGTTAGCGGTTTATTTTTGCAGATGTGGCTCATTTTGCTCACATGGTTTATTAATCATATTTCTTTGTTGCTTGTTTCTAGTGTATCATTTACAGCCTTGTACACAATCTATTCTACAACTTTCTGAAAGCACGATATGAGCACACTCTGACTAATGTAGGGTCGTAGGCAAGTCTGGTTTGAGGAGGTGTTGTGCCCCAGATAGCTGGTCTCTCACCCGAGGGGTCTGTGGCAGTTTTGCTAAGTGACTGCTGGTCCTCATCAGCACCCTGATAGGAATAGACCAATGCTCAAGTGGCCGGCTGTAGCTCGTGCGATTATGCTTCCCCCTCCCCCCCACCCCCCCTTCTCTTCCTGCGGCAAAGCTCTCGCTTGCCCTGGAGTTAGCCAGTCACTTCAGCTAGTCGGGCACGGCATCAAGCGGAGCCCCGCAGTAACGGCAGCAGCTTTCCCTGCTCGCAGTCCAGTCAATCTGATTTTGGGTCGAGGTCGATCATAGCTGGACAGAGTGGGAACACATGGCTAAAGGGGGGAGCGTCCAGCATAGTTGCACCAAACAGGTGTGAATGCCATTTTAAAAAAAATTTTATTCCTTCAACACATTAAGATCTGGAAGCTCAAGAAGCCTCTTCCTCGATGCATAGACGTGAAGAATAGATGAGTACTTCAATCGAGGAGGGAGGTTTGGCGTCCGTGGAGCCGGTGTAAATGGTGTGTTGTGCAGCGCCCGGAGCACCGGGGCTCCCAGAGGGCAGCCATGCCAGACAGCTGATGTCATGTGTGGTTACGACAGAAGGAGTGATGACTTGATAACATACAAAGCAGTGTAGCCCGCAGGTTTATCTCAGGATCCCTCACAAAATATCAGCAACTGCAACTGACCTTATGTGGCTTCTTCAAGGAAAGATACTGCCCACTTGAATATTATGCTCTGCAATGGGCAGTAAAAGCCTGACTGAAGTGCAGAATGGGCCCAATTAGACTTTGGATGTTGTGTGGTAGGTAGCAACACTGTCTTTATTAATTTAAAGATTGACTGTATTTCTAAATACAGTCAAAGGTCACTGTTGAGTTCTACATCGTCAGCGTCAGATTTAGGCTTCCAAAATAGGAGCTCAATCAATTAATTTCAAGCTTAGGCACGATTGACACTTCTTCTCTTCCACTAAAGGCATACAGGCACCGTGACTTGTCTGCACTTGCATCGGTATTTCTATCTTTCCTTTTAAATATGAATATCATGGCGCAGTAATATGGCCGTTTTAAAAGTGCACAATTTCCAACTGACCTATTCTTGACATCAATTATGCCGACATTCAACTGCAATGCACCTGTAGTGTTGTTACAAATGTACTGACAAATACACCACTGACCACTTGTGTGTACATAAACCACATTCAACAAATGAAACGCCTCTCTCTCTCTCTCTCTTAAAGGAGTGCGTCACCTGGGGAGACCAAACTGCTGGCCTCTGAGATCTATGAGATTTTGCAGTTGGCCGGTAAAGAAGAGGCCGAACAGGCCGAGGCAGCTGCTGCCTCCTGCCAGCGTAAAGCCCAGTTCTTCCTGGGCTCCAACAACAAGAGGGCCAAAACTGTGGTGCTGCACATTGACGGACTGGACGACTCCGTGAGTGTTCACAGGAATGCATTCGGGACTCGGTAACGCCATACCGACACTCGTCTGTCCCGCTCGGCTCAGACAGCAACCGAATGTCTGTCGATGCACAAAAAAAATCTATTTTGGGGCTGTCGTGTTTGCCGTGGCGATTATCGGTGTTTGAGATCGTCAGAGCAGCTTAGCCGTGTCTATCTGGCGCAGGTTAGGTTAGGTGGGGTGGGGGGGAGGGGTCAGGTTGTAAATGTCAGCCATTGAACAGCAGGACGTTGAGATTGAACCTGAACGCTGCTCCGCAGGAACCTTGCACCTAGCCAGATTACATTACAGCAGACAGACGGCCTCTGGTGGGCGGCCTCGCTATCACTGCATCAGAGACGCAGCTAGAAGCCATAGCCAACAAGCAAGTTGTATGTAGCAATATAATGTTTTATGATTTTGGTTTTATGGCCCCATTTGACCTAATTAAACTTTCCAAAAGTATACTTAGTCTGTAATGTACTCGTTGGCCTTGTTGTTTCGCACATCTGCTCATACCTTTCGTCTGTTTGCTGTCGGTTGTCAGGCTCGAAGGAGCCTTTGTGAGGAGGCGTTGCTGAAGATTCGAGGGGTCATCAGCTTCACCTTCCAGATGGCTGTCAAGCGATGTGTTGTCAGGATCCGCTCTGACCTTAAAGCTGAGGTAAGGGTGTGCCCGGATACAGAAAAGCATGCAGGAACTTTGGGTTGCACCATATAACAATGGATTTTCACTTGTAATTTCGGTCAATACCGGGGGCTTATTTCCCCATCTGTCCAGTTTTATTTTATTCTATAAACTCCATTTTAAGTCAAATTCATCTTTATCTTTGTTTATTTACTGTTCAAAAGCTTGATTTAAGTTGCGCTGGAATATTGACACAATATTATGGTATGAGTATAATTAACATGATATCAATATTACATTTTAAAATATCATGATTATAGTCAATACCGGTATATTGCGACACCCTTATTCCTGATTATACTAAAGAAAACACTCCATGTGTCTTTGAAAGTTGATACACTTAATTTATTTAAGACTTTCTTTCAAAAAAGTATGAGCTGGCACATTTCATTGTAACCTATTGGTTACTGTACCTTGTGTACAAGTGACAAAGTTAGATATAAACTTAACTGGTATTGATAAATTGATGAGAATGTACTCTTATCAAATCACGTATACATTTGATTTACCCAAAGTATTCTATTCATGTTTGAGCTGAAGACAGAAATACAAAGTATCACCAATGAAAACAAACAAGTTGTTTTTTTCCTTCACAGGCGTTGGGCACAGCAATCAACTCCACCAAAGTAATGATAGCTCAGCAGGTGGTGAAGACAGCGGGCGGAGAAGAGGTAAGAACAGCTGAGACCCAAATCTGTGAGAAATAAGAAGAAAAACAACCTCTAGGATTGTGTATCGTTTACCTTCAATTGCTGCACATACGACTGGTTTTCAGTTGATGGATCAGCACGCCCGCTGCATGTTGTGTGTATCTCTGTACAGGCAGCGTAGCCGCCCTTGCCTGCGGCTGAGACTTATTCACACTGACATGATTAGCTAGTCACATCTCTGCCTCGGCCTGTAGGCTAGTTTCTTTTTGCCAAACACGTGACCGGTCCCAGTTGCACCTTTTTTTTTTTTTTTTTTTTTTACAGCAGTGTTACAGATTTGCAGCTCAAATTGAGTGAAGCTGTATTTGAAACTGCGAACAACATATAAGATTCCAAAGTGTTTGTTTTTCAATAATCTGTAAAGAGTTCTGATATCATTGTTGCTCAAATGATAAGAGATAATTGTCAATGGGCACATTAACAGTCATGAATACATGTGGCCAGCAGGGGTCAGACCTGACTCAGTCATGTAATCTGACTTCAGGTGATGATTATTTGGCTCCGTAGTTTGTGTTTTACATTAATCCTGGTGCCTTTACATGATATAAACACAACTTATTATCTTTGCTGTTATTAAAAAAGAACAATAAAACACTTCTTCTGTCTTTGTGCAGCTGATCTTGCCATTCCAAGAGGTCACAGCGGAGCATGTGGAGGAGAACACAGACATCCCAGACTATCTGCCCGAGGAGGAGAGTCCATCCCAGGAGCAGGACAAAGCTGTCACACGCGTTGGCTCCATCACAGACGGCATGGGCTGGCTCAACACGGCCGCCAACTTCCTCACGCGCTCCTTTTACTGGTGACCACTTCCTGTGTGTCTCACTCTCTCTCTCTGCTCCCCGTTTTTTCTCATCCAGCTGAAGCCTTAGCATCTCTCAGCCGTGTCCCGGACTAAGCCCTGCCCCACAGCCATACTCTAGTCTAGACTCCCCTCTGCTAAGCACACAGAAACCCGGCCACGTGTTTGCAACAAGTGCTGGACTGCCAAGTGGAACCTGCAGTAACATTAACTTGTGTACATATTAAGCTACCAATCCCACGACTGGCTGTTTGTGCTCAACTATCCACTAGCTGCACATGTATCGCACAAGACCTAGCCAGAGGACTTCAAATCAGCCGAAACCAAATAGCATTCTGGGAATGTGCACCGCAGCGTTGACGGAGGGGACATGTGGCAGGCGTATTTAAATGTTCCGAGGCTGATTTTGAATACGTGGAAAATTGGGAGTTCCCTTTCTTTTGAGCATGATTTTTGTTTGCTTTCCTCCGGTGTTCATTCTCAATCCTTGTCTTCTCTCTTATACATTTTCTTTCATATTTCCTAATTAGGCCGATTTTGTTTTTCTTCCCCCTTCAGTTTTATTAGCATGCTTTTGTGCCAATTTTGCCTGATTGCCTAGATCTGTCATTATTGTGTGTGTGCCTTTTTGACGGTTTACTTTAAATATATTAATTATGTCATTTAAATAACTTCCCAGCTTTTGTGCGTCCGAGGTGGCCCTTAGCAGCAGCAGCAGCAACAGCAGCCAAGCCTCCCCCAGCTTTTAGCTTCACGAGGGGCGTATGAAGCGGTAGTATCGGTAAACTAGACACCAGCAAGAGGCCGCAGCCCATTCAACCACAGCTCGCATGCATTTCTTTGTTGCACACTGGAAGAAGAAGTCCTTTTAACTAATTAAAATGCCACCCCTCGCCGCGTTTATACTCTCTGGAGTCCATCTCTGGACTGATAATGCAGGATGCAGTGGTGGTGAGTTGTATGACAGCTCCTCGTGTTGATTACACAGACGTTAGGCTTCCTCTGCTTCCATTCCTCTGTCACATCAGCATTATAGTCATCGGTAGTGTTAGTAAATCCCTTTGCTCAGCATGTAGAAGACGAACCTGTTAGCTGCCTGCTTGTCAAACGCTTTCCTATGTTACCTGGACTCCCACTGACATTTTTTTTTTTTTTTACAGTATTGTTGCGCACCTGTTCAATTTTCAGTCTAGCCAGCAGTGTCCTTAAAGCAAAGATCATGTTGGTGCATGCTCACACACACATACAGAGGACTCGCTAGTATGAGCAGTAGTGGTATACTGGAACAAGGGTGTGGTTATGTACATTTTGTAAATGGTGCCTGGTTCCCTCAAATCTCAAACCTTACATGTGAAGGAAAAATTTTGTTCTCTTTTTTTTGTAATACTGATTTGCATTTTATGTCACAAAATAGGATTATACAGCTACCGCTAACACTCTTAGTGAGTTTATTCCTTTCGTTTAGCCTTTACAACCCCATGACTCACTCCAGGTTTAATTATTATCTCCTCTGACTTGTGTGCGTGTCATTAATAATTATTATATACATTGCTGACCAAGCGACCTTTATTGTTCTGATGGTGCGGAGATGTCACAGTTCGTTGAGGTCAAAACGGATCGTGGAATTGCACAGAATGGCCTGAGTAATCTGAATTGACGGTGGTTATTCTCTGCAAAAGCAATAATATTTTTTTTGCATTAAATGTAGTTGTTACAGCTCAGCATCAGCCTTCAAAATTATGTTTTGGAATAAAAGGTATTAGTGAAATGTTAGGATTATCTTCAGTATTAAAATATCTTTATTTGTCCATTTTGCGCAGAATGAGTCTCTAAGTTACATCATGTAATTTCAGTTTTAATTTTTGATGTCAGCTCATACTGCAAAGAAATACTTGAACATTGTTTCTTAGAACTGTTCTTATGTGTCGATCAAAGTGTAAATTTCCCACAACTGCTAGATTAAGCCCATCTGTAAGGATGACAAGAAAAACAAACTAATTTAAATCCTGAAAACTGTAACTTCATGTGTCCGTCATCAAATGTAATATAATGCAATGCAGATCCTAACGATGTAGATTCCCATAGACTGTTAATGCAAATTATGATAAACTTCAAAACAAAAATGTTTCTGGTGCTTTTTTTTTTTTTTTGCTTTTTTTTCTTTTTAAAACAGTCTGGTTCTACTGATTTTGATAAGAAGATCTTGACCTATCATTTCCCAGTGTTAATACTCTTCATGGCATGTGCAGTGGTCACACCAGCGATCCACACTTTACTTTGTCAAATCAATTCTTAGCATCCATTCTTAGCCAAGAGAGAGAGAGGGGGAATTCAGTTTTCTTTATTGGGGCATAAGTGAGGTGCCCCAGGGCGATCCTGTGGCCTGCCCACCACCTCCTGTAGCCCGGTGCTGGTAGGCAGCAGCAGCCAGCCTCAGCTGGAGGCCCTGGAGCCACTGCTGCTGCTGCTGCTGATGCTGATGTTGATGCTGAGCCTCCAATGAAACGCTGTGCCAAGCTGGAGGGGAGGCCTTCACTGCTCTGCTGTATTATCTGAATGGAAGGTGACTAGAGAGCTTTGTTGAATGACAATTTCTAACAATTTTCAACATGCTCAAGCCATTTTAGGTTGAACCTTGATTTATACTCGTAAATCATTTAATTACTTAAAAGCTTACTTTTGTAAATCAGGTGTACATTCAATGCACACATCAAAGTGAAACAGACGAAGGTAGTTTGCTCAGTAGAGCTGCAACCACTAGTGGGGCTGACCATCTCATATTTTCTTGACAATATAACTGGAGCTTTTCCGATCATATGACATGATTTTCATCAGCATAGAGGTTCTGACTTGAGCAACATCTTATCCATGTTGGCTTAAAAGTAGAGTTTCAAATCTCACATTTAGCCTCATGTAGTTAAAGATGGAGCTGTAGATAATGTTACTTATACCTTTTACATTTCAGAATCGCTCTAATGTGTCTCTTGCAGTCCCCTAGAGCGTGTGCCCAAATACCAACCATTCACAGTGACCCAATATGTACCCGGGTGTGTGATTTGCAGTAGAAAATGCCTGTGAGGCCTCCGAGCTCCGACTTCTCACTTATCACCACTAGAGAGAGACAGTAAGCCTGACAAGGAAAACAAATGATGGAAGTGTGGCGTCCAGTTTATAATCTGAAAACATCTCATAAAATCACTTGTTTGTAATTGGATGACCTAAGGCTTCTAACGCTATCGGGAACTTTGCTGAAACAGCATTTCCAACTGCTCGGTTTGAGCTTGATCATAACCATTAACACACTGCGACCATGAACATGCCTCGCTCACCTCCCACTGTAATATCGGTGGACTAATGCAGCCATAAGGTTGTTTTTAGTAGTTAATATAGTGTGCACCTTTTTTCCACGATGTCTGAACACTAATGTAGAAAGCAATTTTCAGTTCGAAATGATTTTCCTCAAGGGTTCATATGCCTTATAATATCACTCCTCTCAGAAGTTTTTAAGGGGATATCCTCCAGAGAGCATCAAAGTGGCACTCGCCTCTCCTTTTCAAATTAAAGCCACAGATAATTTCACTTTCACTCCTTGAGTTCTTTGTAGAAACCACCTTGCCATTCTCCCCTGTTTCATATACCCCCATCAGATAAAACACAATCAGCCTGCCTTGTGCACAGTCCTCATCCCCCCTCATGGTCATATCAGCCCAGTTGCATATAATGTGTGCATAAATGTGTTGTCGGTATCATCCTCCCACCTGTGCGTATTTGCATGGTTAATCTGCACGCAGGGGGGAGAGGGCCTGATGGAGGGTAGATAGGTGCGTCTCACGGCCCCATGGGCTCTTGAGGAATTTTATTGGAGGTTCAGCTCCCAGTCAATGGGATCAGCCGTAAATCCCGCTCAGAGTGTGGCAGGAAATGATGTGACTCCGGCAATTTATGTCAAATAACTTTTGAGGATGTGTGAGTGTAGCGATCAGCGCTGCCGGGGCAGCGATAACTCTTCGGCGGGGGGGCCCCGGTGAAGATTTAATTGAGACATTTTTCTTTATCTGCAGCGAAGCGCCGGAGCCGTGTTGTTGTGTAACGAGATGTAATGTCTCTCTTTATACGGGGGTCAACATCCGGGATGAGGGAAGGTCACGGACTGACTGTTTGAGCATCCAATTTGCTCACGTAATACCGGCTCTACAGGGAGTAAAAACACAGTGTATTAAGTTACACAGTCCACATATCACAGGCAGATGTGACGCCCTGTGCTGTGGGATATAATGCATCTTTATGAGTTTATATGTAGCCTGTGAGTGTGTGAGGGAACATAGGCCTACATGTTAAGTAATGTAGTTGCTGAGTCTGAAGGTATTTTTACACTGTAACATTTCTATTTGTCTTGATGGATGTATTGGTACCACTTGTATGGCACTTTTTATAAAGGAGGTGTAACTAATGTCTTTATCAATGGTTAGTAAGTGTTTACTACTTTTTGTAGATCAGTTATAGGTCAGTAGTAAATGCTCATTGGTTTCTCTCCTTCTAGCCGGCCGGCAAGTCTCAAGGATCAATCACCAAGTCTGCATTTGTGAATAAGTGGTAAGCAGACAAATGGTCCAACTGATCAGGAAGAATTTTTTCACAATCTGGCAACCCAAAATATAACAAATATAGAAAAAACATAACTAAAATACCTATCAACTATTAATATGGCCATAGGTACAAGCTATAATTCCTCTATGAAGGTAAATATTTTTTAAATAAAAGTTGATAATGTACTATAGGCTGTATATTATAATATTTATTACTGATTCATGTCAGCATATTGTAGCTGGTTAAGGTTACTGTTGATGATCATTTGTCTTGTAGCTATATGTACAATATTAATCTGCAGTGATGGAAGAAATATTCAGATGCATTGTAATGTACAAAGGACAATGTATAAAAACATGTTACATGTAAAAGGAATTCAATTTTAAAAAGTGTACAGAAGCATCAGGAAAATGTATTAAAGTATAAGTAAAACCATTTATCAGATAGAAGATGAGCCCATGTCAGTGTATTATATATTGTAATATTTAATTATTATGAATGATTTATTAGCATGCAACAGTTAAATGTTGTAGGCCTAACTAAGAAGTAAATTCTAAACATTCCACATAGGTATCTTTACACGGTGACACAGTGACCTACTGTGTCATGCTTGTACTGTATATTGCTGTGAAAGCAATGCATTCTGGGAGTCAATTTTCATAGTCATTTACTGCTTACCCCTGACATTACTGTAGCCTACATAATGATTATGATAAGTTACTGTATTTCTCAGACACAGTCGGGATACTATAAATTGTGCAGTATCTTTCTATATGGCATGCTTTGAATACAGTAAGTTGTTGTATTCTTTTGATACTGTATACTGTTAATTGTACAGTAGCTTACTGGTGACATTTCTGCCAGTAATGTACTGTGATTTCACAGCAATGTAGCATGCAAGAACATTATAGGTTTTCTATGTTTTGTATACTTCACTAAATATAGCCTACATAGGCTACTTACTGTATCTGTAAAGTTACTGCAGTAGGCTAATATTTGCCTCCAAAACTAGCAGCAGTATAATATACAAGTACTTCAAAAACAATAATCAAATACTTATCTCTCAAGCAAGGTGATCTGCATTATAGATTTTTTTTATTATTATTTGTTAAATGTGTGTATAGGTCTGTATATTTGTATCTGTGTGTGCATGCCTCCTCCAGCAGCAGCTTGCATGGAGGCCTTGATGAGATGTATGCACACACAGGCAGCTCATAATTGTGGCCATAGCTCATTATTGTCCCCCGGGTGATTTGGATCCGCCGGGCGGGAGCCTCGTCCTCTGACACCGCCACGTCCGACAACCACTCCAGGCACTGATTGGTGGGATGAAATATTGCCGGCGAAAATTAAAAGGTCCCGGTGTCAAAATAATTCATGATATGCATATCTTCCCGGCTTGATGAAATCGCTGATATCTGGATTAGGCGGATAATAAAAGCGATCAGGCTACAGCTAAACTGTTCCAGCAGCGGTGGGGGGGGGGCATCTTCTTTATGTGTCAAGAGAGTTGGGCTGCGGGGTCAAGATACAACAAGTGTGTGCGTGCGTGCGTGCGTGCACGTCAGACCCCTGTCAGATTGTGTGCGGTGCAGTTGCACAACACACCTAGACCTGTGATTTGAATATCCGCTGTAATTGTCCCAAAACGGCTCATCAGTGGATCTGCCCGCTGCCATTAGGGCCCAACAATATGGTGTGACATTCAAATTCCCCTCAATGACAGGTTATTAGGAGCCCCAAGCAGCCGGCACATAATTAAGCACCGTAACGTTGACCTGTAATATGAAGTGATGGCTCAGTCGTATAGTGGCTGAGAATGAAATAGGTGCTTTGTTAAAACACAGGAGAACTTGGGGATTTTTCACCCGTTGAAAAAAAAAAAGGTGATCATAAAATGAAGACAGATGTCGATGCAAAATTCAACCATAGAGGCAAATAACACAGACTATGATTTTATAACTGGGGGAGAAAAACTGCATGTCAGCTGCCAGGGCAACAGCTGACAGATTAGGGAGTGAAATAATACTCTTCAATATCAACAAAAGTGATGAATTTTAATGTTTTTGCCTACATTCTTTTCTCCTATATCAGATCATGTTGGTTTATGTTATACAATCTCCTTACTCCGGTTTTTATCCACAGTGATGTTGAGCTGTGTGAACAAATCTTTCAGAAAAACAAACAACCTGAGAAAAAAAAACAAAATGAACGTGTGACTTTTCATTTGTAAAAGCCTATTACACAACTTAAGACATGCTGTCTGAGGCCCCCGCTTTCCCCTTTAGAACAAGTGGACGTTGTGATGAGCAATGGACCCATCTGCTGTGCCCTCTCCTCCAACTGGTGTGTGAACATGATGTAGTATGTAGGTGCCCATTTTCCAAGTCGGAATATAAGACCAGTACCTGGAAAATACTCTAAAAAAGATGATTAAGTTTCATGTTATGGTATCTGAACATGCTGTGGAGGTGAACAACTCTCATGTCTCTGCATATATAGCATCGAAGCAATCTTTTCTATCGTTAAGATGCTG